AATTAAACGAATACACGTCACCAACCTTTAGTTATTTATCTTATCTCTCCCACCTGACTTGAAACACGTGTTGAGCATGTAAGAAGATATAATATATTTGAAACCCAAGTAAAATGGTGACAATACATAATTAATGTCATCATAATCATTTTTATTATTTGGTTACACACTTTATTAAACAGAGTAAGATAATAACTGGATCAATAATATTTGATTGCACTTTTTTATTCACATGTTTAATTTGTTAGATCAGCCAAAGGACAACAAAACAATGCAATCAACATGTCAATCTACAAGCAAGTTTGTCAAGCACTCGCATTTTATGATCGCTATCTAGAAAATTGCATTACTACGGTAATATCATGTGATTCATGACAAGAAATCATGTTGCGATAATTCTGAGATTAAATAATAATATAAATTATCGTTATATTTTTTATGCTATTTAATATAATCATGCTTCAAAACATGATAAAGTTATTATCGTTATGATCGATTCAACAAATACATAATATTATAATAGATCACAATCTGATTTCACCAAAAAATATTGAAACATCATTGTTTGAAGTATGATTATAAGCCAAAGATTCAAAAAGAATGACAAATTTATCAATTAATGTACATTATTCTTCATTTGAAATAATTGTTATGATATTTCAATCCAAAAAATTCAACTTGAGCAAGCAATTGTTAACCACGTCATTGAATTTCACCTAGATAAAGTTAACTCATCTAATAAAAATAATACTATATATATAGAATGCCGTCAAATAATAATTTTTATTTAATATCAATCAATGTCTTCCGAGTCAGAGTCAGAGTCAGAGTAATCCGTTATACTTTCTAAGTCTGAATCTAAACCTGATTCTGGGTATTCAAAACCTTCCGAAATGGATAATAAACAGTAGTTATCTTTGGGAGTATTCAGATTTGTTTCTTGTTTCTTATTCTTTATTATTACGTCTTTTTCTTTGGGATTCAAAGTCTCTTCATCAGGGATTTCAATAATCCCAAGTGACCCAGCAGAAGCATTTAGTTTATTTGGTGTTGACGCCAATGACATCAATGGTACTGGAGATGGAGAACGAGATGGTATTAAAAATGGCGACGATATTCGCGGTGTTGGAATTGAGTTTGGTGTTGGTATAAAATTTCGAGGCTGATTTTTTGAGGCTGAATGTTTTATATCTTTATCCGTTTCTTCTTTTTCATTATCATTATAATTATCACCTTCATCATCTTCTATTACTATCACTTGGATGACATTATCTTCTAGAACAGCATTTTCATCATCAGAATTCGAAGTTGAATCAACGGGCGATGATGGTCCAGATCCTTCCCAGCTCTTTTTTTCCGTGTTTATAAATGCTTTTTCTGTCAACTGTAACAAATTCCCTATGACATCATCATCGCCCTTCTTTGCTTGATTATCATCATCATCATCACCATTATCATCATCGTTAGTATTGTTTTTATGATACAACTTTGACAACATTCCAATTTTGAAGACGGGAGCGTTTTTCAAAACGCCCCTGTCGACTACAACCTCTCCGGTCATTAGATCAATTTCGTCTGTTTCTTCTGTCAAATCGCAACCATAGCGTGCGATGATATCGTCCCATGCGGATTTTAAGCGCTTTTGGCTTAGTTCACGTAGAAATTCTACAGAGGGTTCGATCGTTTCTTTGAAACTTGAATTACGTTTTCTTTTTTTATTCATGTTTGAAGAAATATTAGACGTGTAGACAGTGGTGTGGTAAACGATCAACAAGTGGTGCGTTTCATGTAACACACGCTTTGCCCGTTTTGGAAAAGGATCAAATGGTCAAATGATTTTTGAAACTAATCGCTAACGCTAACGCTAATCAAAAATTATATCGATATCATTTGTCAGAATTTAAACGATTGTTAAATTACTGGATTATATGTGACACCGCAAATTCGTCATTGACACAAAAAATAGATGTCTAAAATTAATATTGTCTTTTCCAACCATTTTCTTTATTTCATTGACATGAGGAAAGTGACGTAGATGGAATTTACGATTGTCTTTGCGTCAATCAACTAAAAGAATTCTTTTTTTTTGTATTGCTGTCTGTGTATCTCGAAAAATCATCGTTGTTTCGTGTTTTATTAAAGTTGATTGATGATTACAATCCCTTTGATTTATATATATGCGCGAATTCTCCAACCTTAATTCTTAATTATGATTAATAAATTGAGTTTTAGCATTTGAAAATCATGATTTCTCGATAATAACAAGCAAAAACAGGATTTATCATTCTTCGGGGATTCCCGATATCTTCATATTAATATAAAGAATATAATAACTTTTTTTGAAAGATTGTTAATGCCCAGATTTGTTATCTAACTAAATTTTCTTGTCCCTTTGACAGAAATTTGCGTTACATGCCACAGCTATCTATCAGTATAAGAGATCTATCGAAAATTGACATCTCCTCGTGTGCATTTGAATCATCCATGCACACGCGTTATTCAATTTTTTTTCGTTGCGGTGTATTGAAATTCAGTGTGAGCACAAGATATATGTGTGTGTATTATTATTTACGGTGGTACACGTTTTAATGAATTAATAAAATTAAATAAACTTCTGATGATACGATTCAAGTCGAAGTCGACATCGGCGACGGTTTTCTTTGCTATCCCTTACCAAATAAAGCAAAAGCATACAATCAACGACCCACTTGGGCGTTATTCACCAATAAGGGATGAATCATGAGAATTAAAGGAGACTAATAAAAAGAGACTAGTAAAAAGAAATACAACAAATAACAAAAAAAGAGCGCATCCTAATGAACAAATGCAGGAGTTTATTATTTTTCTCATTCTCATTCATTATACTTGTTAAAAAAAATTGATGGGATTGCGTGCCAAAGAATTTAATAAATTGACTTGCGACTTTGATTTTTCCGACGGCCGCATAACTCCGACAATACAGCAAAAAAGTAATTTCGCATAAAGACACGAGAAAAAAAAGAACTCATTGTTGGCATTGATTGATCGGTGTATTATTACCAGTATACAAACAACAACAACAACAGCAATAGTAACAACTACGACCACGACCACCACCATCACCACCACCACAACAATAACAATAAGAAAAAATGACGAACGAGAGATTTTTATTTCATTTTCTTATGCATACATGAGATTCAAATGCAACAATAACCACTGATGGTTAGTTTGTAATAATCACATGCGGAAACTAAACATGAGAACTCAGGAGAAAAAATGCGCCCAATTTTTATATGCCAATAGCTTATTTTAGAGTGTATATATTCTGTATTCCCTAAAAGTCTAATTACCGATTGACAGCATCAGAAAAAATTTGGATTGATTGTTCACAATTGTGTGCTTGGTCCACCTCTTAACATATGATTTCAACAGTTTATTTATTATTTGGATGGAAAAAAAGACACACATACAAACACACACATTACAAATTACTACATAAATATGAATAATGTGATGTAAAGTATAGTAAATATATATGATATAATATGTAGAATATAATCTTGTTTTTGTTGTTTGTCTTTTCTTCCGGAAAAGTTTAAAATCCGGTTTTCGTTTTCTCGTGTCTGTTTATCCTGTTTATCTGCTTCTCATTTTTCAGATGAATGTTATTTTATAGTTACGGACTTTCCTTTCTTTGGTTGACGATTTCTTTTTTTTGTGCTTTTGTAATATTATCCCCTTAACACAGACAAATAATAATATAAAAATATATTTACTTTAAAAATATATCAACGATAATTTTATAAGCTATATATAGAATAAAAATCCCATCCTATCTCACGAACCTTTTCATTTTTCCCACCTCATAAAACTTCATTATTACCAGTTTTCTTTGTTCGTTTTCGACAGCTAACAATAACAACTACAACCTCCGGTTCTTGTTATTATTGAATTCTTACCAACCAAATCTACGAATCAAAAAAAGATAATTTTCTTTTTGTTAGCCTTTTAACGAAAAGTAAGTGTTTTGTTCTCATCCTCTCATTTTATCAATACTATTTCTATTGAACAAGTTTTCTTGACGCAAAAGGAGTTGTTTATAATCTCCAATCCTTTGCATTTAAAGTTCCCCGATTTTTTTCTTATTATTGTATATCGTAAACTAACCGTGTTCTTATTACATATTACATTCTCTCACAATTACTACCGCATTCTTCTTCAAACTCGAACTCGATTTCCAATCACCTTAACAGAAGTGAGAAACCCACAATAGTAGCAAGGGATACAAGAACACAAAGAACGAGAAGAAACCAAAAATCAAGAACTGAAAATGTCGCATTTATCCAACGGTACTACACACCAATCCACAACATCAGATACAGATGATCATTCTGATTCCGAGAATCCTTCTAACTCGTCATTATCTTCTTTCGAAGAAGAAACCAACGATTCTAGTAAAACTAACGGCACCGAGCATGTCGAGCCTGTATATATCGAATCCAAAGAAACATATCAAGATAGTAACCAAGCACCGTCATCAAGCGTTACGGCTCTTTTACAGATTCCTTTGTTTTTTGATTCATTAAATTACGTCAAAGATTCGAAATATGGAGGAATGGCGGTAAATTATGCTGGGGTTCCCATTATTAATACGGTTTCAAAAATAACTTCTCCTTTTCAATCACAAATTAATCAAATCGATGGTTTAGCCGCCACTTCTATTAAAAGTATCGGTGAGAAAGTTCCAGTCATTTTAACCCCGACAAATGACATCATTGAAAAAGTGAAAACCCCCGCTATTCAAACCATCGACAATGGTAAACAATACATCTCAAATGTTGCATCAAATGTCAGCGAGGGAATCGATCAACGTCTCGCTCAACCAGCGAAAAGTTTGGCTCAATCCGTACAAGCTCAGATCACGCCAATCGCCATAAACGTTGACAATAGTTTTGAACCTCTGGTCACGAAATACACCAGTATTGTTGATAGATATTTACCCGAAGATGAACTAAGCGAAAAAGAGGAGGAAAAATCAGAAGATTCCGTTCAATTAAGCCAAACTCACCGCGCTTTCAATACCACGGCAAAAGCTCATCGTCGTTTTTCAAGAAACTTTAAACGAACTCTCGTTAACACTCAATCTTACACCTCAGAGCAACTTAATCAATATACTATTGTTGTTAAAGCTACCGAAACTATTAATCAACTAAATACTAAATTACATGAGGTCTTTATATTGACCAGAGATGCCTATCAAAATCCTGATTTCGCAACTACAGTTCATGGTCGTCTACACGATATCGCTGGATGGTTTGTCGGGGAATTGGATAGAGAGAAAGATCTCCCAAAAGCGTTAAAAGAACGTGCGAATGAATTTGCTCAATCATTAATCACCACGAGAGATTCGATTGCTAATTACATTAAAGAAAATGCAACTCATGTGCCAGAAGAGATAACAAAACGAGTGCATCCATTGTTCGAGTTCTTTAATCAGAGATTTCCGGGAATTATGGAACAAATAAATAACAATAACACTTGGTTTATTGGAAAAGCAAGGGATTTCGCGGAACAAACTATTCCAACCGTAAAAGCCAAAGTATTGGGCGTCAATTAATCAATCGATCGATCGATTCAATTAATGATTTGTATGTGTGTGTGTGTCGTAATGACAACAATTCTTTGTGGGGAAATTGGTTGGTTTGATTTGTAGCGTAAATTCTCAAATGGACAATTGATGATCCCTACCTTTTTTCTTAACTTTATTTTATTATTTTTTTCTTATTACAAGTATTTTTTTTTATCTTTTCTCGTAAAATCATTGGTACGCGTTGTTGTACATCCATTCAATATAATGCTTGCGTTCTCTAGTTATCAGCTTAACTTTATTCTCGATGTTGGATGCTTTTTGACGATGATTGGTAAATGATGGATGATAATGAACAACGGATATATTCTTGCAAGTAATAGCATTTAAACAACAAAAAACATTGAAAAGACTATTATTATTATCATTTTTATTATCATATCGATTTTCAATCAAAAATAAATAGTCGTTGGAAAATAATATGAAACTCGTACATACATACACATGCATATTAATAAAACATTTGCAATAAAGTTTCCGCATTATTATCGTTATTTTATTACACGTTCCATTCAAGCGATGTTTCACAAAATCTAAAATTAAAACGAGCTTATGCAGACCATCTGACTTACAAAACGTGCGAAATCTTAAAACTGACGAGTATTATACAAGTGACATTAAAAGATAGTTGATTATTTGATATCAAAAACTGCACGAGTCTTAAAAAATAAATGATTTGAGCACGATGATTTATTGTAAATTGCTTTTTAGTAAAAAGATTAGATATGGCATTATTGTTGAAAAAATCTTGTGCAAGTTATAGTTTGTAAATATCAAACTTATTTAATTGGTATCGGTACGATTTCCAAACCAAAAGTAAAGTTTCAGACTTTTAAAAAAATCAATTTGATTAATTATATTATTCGAATTATTGAATTTATAAATAAAAATAAAATATATAAAAAAATGTTTTTTATTTACAAAGAAAAAAATACAAAGATCTTTAATTAACAATTACAAAAAGAGTGTATAAAGTTGCAATTTAATATTTATTTAAAAAGTTATATAAAAATATAATCATTTTAATATGAAACAGTTTGTTTTTTAAATTTTTTCAAACAATAATAATATAATCAAATTATTTAATATTGTTATTATTCACTATTTTTCTTAATTATATAATATGAGACATCATCAAATACTAAGTGATATTCAATTATTTTTTATTTATTTTTTTATTTTCAATTATTTTTTATTTATATTATAAATTACCAATCACTTTAATTTATTATATTATTTTTATTAATTATTAGTTATTATAATTAATTTATTATTAATTATTAGTTATTATAATTTTATTAGTTCTTAATTATTTTGATTATTAATTTTGATTATGAATTCATTTACTTTATCTAATATAATATTAATATTTCATTAATTTCATTTGTAATATTTAAATTAATTTTGTATTTGTTTATTATTTTTGACATTATACATATTATAGTTTAATTATTTTATTGATTTTTTATATTGTTATAAATTTTATAGATTTGTATTATTTTTAATATATATTTAAATAAATATAATTTAATATAAAAATCAGATATTTTATAAGTTATCTTTGGTTTTAACAATAATAAAAAATATATCAGACTGCTAATTACTTTGTTTTTATTAATTTTTTTTATTTTTTGTATTATTGAATTCATTACATATTGGATTATTATTCATATTTATTAAATTTCTTTCATAAAATACTTATATATTATTTTGTTATTTGATATTAAAACGGATGAATTATACAAGAACTGGAATAGATATCACAGTGATAAAAAAGTGATACAATCAAACCTCTTTATAGTCATCACCCTTGAAAAAGCAAAATTTGATGACTATAGAGAGGATGTGACTATAGAGAGATTTTTTTACTATATTTATATGTAAATAGGAAAGTAAAATATAGTGATTATAGAAGGATGTGACTATAAATAGATGTGAATATAGAGAAATTTGACTGTAATTTGAAAATATTATATAAAAATTCTTATTAGTTATAATATTCTATGATTTGTAATATATTTAGAAAATCAATTTACAAATTATCAAAATTTTTTTATATTTTTAAATAATTATAATAAATACTAATA